AAAAAATTTAAAGCCATAAATAATTTAAAGCCATGATAAGCAGCCAAAAACGAATCCAATGCCTGAGTTGTATTGAATCAACTGCCTACCTTTCTACCTCAATGAGTCAAAAGACAAATCAGCTAATTTTTGAGTGATTTGGATTGGTAAAGAAAAGAAATGGAGTGATATGTATTTTTTTTATTTTTTTGGATAATTTAAGTAGAGAGAAATGGGAAGAAATGGAAAAGCAATTTATCACACCTTTTGTAACTATTTATAACATTATATTTTGTTTGGATGTCAATTTAATTAAAATTAGGAATTTTTTATTAATTATATTCATTTTTTTAATTTTAAAAAAATAACTATAATTTTTTTATTTTAATATTAAAAAAATGCATTCAAAGAATTAAAAACACCACCTTTTGAATTGTATTCTTTTATACACAAAAAAATACTCTAACAAAACCTGGGTATAACACTGGTAGAAAACTAGTGTTGTAGTAGACTTGACACGTTCAAAATAAGATTAGAGACATTAATTGCCCAGTCTAGAGATACCAGCCTCATTAAATGTCTCAGTTTTTGTGGGGGTTGGGGTGTGGGGGTTTATGCTTCCTTTGTAATGTATAAAGTAGGATGCTTCCTCTGTAACATATAAAGTAGAAGTGCTGGCAGATCTGATTGAGTTGGGTAATCTCTTATTTGTCATTCGTCCAAACTTAGATGAATTGAAAAAAAATCAATTCATATCCGTTCGCTTAGTTAGTGAATGCGGAATGAATGAGCCACGCAGATTGGCTAGTGAATGCGGATTGGTTTAGCAGTTTGGGCTTTGCTATTTTTAGTCTTTTTTGGATCTAATTTGCTGTAATTCTTTACTATTTTGCGCTCAAAATTTTTTATTATTCATTTTTTATAATAAAAATAAATGCCCAACTTTTATATTTCATATATAACAAATATAATTATTAAATACAATGACATTTTTTTTTAATATACAAAGCATAATTTTATTTTTTTAGGCTGATTAGCGGATCGAGTTGGGTCAAGCTTCCTCTCTTAGAGAGTGTATTTGTAATTTATCCACCACCAAAAAAAAATGGAACATGTGGTATGCAACAAGTCCAAACAGAGCGACTAAAGAAGGGAGCAACAGAGAGCATGATAAGCAGCCACAATAAAAAATTTAAAGCCATAAATAATTTAAAGCCATGATAAGCAGCCAAAAATGAATCCAATGCCTGAGTTGTATTGAATCAACTACCTACCTTTCTACCTCAATGAGTCAAAAGACAAATCAGCTAATTTTTGAGTGATTTGGAGAGTAAAGAAAAGAAATGGAGTGATACGTATTTTTTTTATTTGTTTGGATAATTTAAGTAGAGAGAAATGGGAAGAAATGGAAAAAAATGGAGAGAAACTCATTTCTCTTATGAGCCTCATTTTCAATCTTCTCAAAAATAGATAGATTGGGAGAGAAAAGAAACCACTATTTTCATAATACCTATTTTGTCCCTATAAAAATAAAAGAAATGAAATGCTTGAAAATATAAAAAGGTTATTTTGGTAATATAACATAAAATAATTTCTTTTCTTTTCTCTTAATAAAACCTAACCAAACAAGAATAAGAGAAATCACAATCATTTATTTTCTTTTATTTCTTCCTTATCCAAATAAAAAGGAGAGAAATCACAATCATTTCTTTTCTTTTCTTTTCTCTTATTACTTAAGTAATCATTTCTTTTGTTTTCTCTCCTAGGTTCCCAAACATAGTGTAAATCTAAAGCCATAAATAATTAGATTTCTATCCTATCCTATCATATCCCCATTTGCTTTTGTATTGAAGCATGCACCTGTATAAGATCAGAGTGCCTTCATTAGTAGCTGCAGCATTGAGAAAGACAGGAAAAAAGGAATGGCCTACTCCTCCTCTTGGCCTAGTTTCTTTTTGTTGGCTTCACTCTTACTTGGCTTCTCAATTGCAGATTGGGTTAACAATATTTGTAGCAGGTCCCAAAATGCTGGTTTTTGCACTGCAACTTTGAGGCCTGACCATCAATCTGCTACAGAAAATCTTTCCGGGATTGCACATGTTGCAGTAGACTTGACGCGTTTGAATGTTATAACCATTGACAAAAAGATCAAGACACTAATTGCACAATCTAAAAATCCCGAGCTCACTCAATTATTGCTCATCGGAATATGATTCTGCTATATGTTCTTGTGGATATGCAAGTAGAGACTTGGATAAAGAAGATTATATGAAGGTTTTGATGATCAAAGAACATTGATGAGCCAACATGCCCGTGCTTGTGAAAATGCATTTAAAGCCCAACCACCGTATCCATCCCCACTTACAGTAACAACCAAAATATAGCACTTATATATCTGTACTGTACTGATGTGCTTATGTATTAACTTGGAAGTAGAAAACTGTCATGTTCAAACAAAGCAAGGACTTAAATGTTTACTTACTTTTGGAAAACAAAAAATATGATGAACAAATCACAAAAATTATTAACCAAATACAGTCATATGATAATTTCTACTAAATTGCATATAATGGGATCTTGATAACAATGTCTGCTTGGAGTTGTATAATTTATCAAAATTATCCATGACAAAAAATAAATTTCTTTGTGGTAGTTGTATTTAAACCCACTTTAAGTAGGCATTTCCTAGATAAACAGTGACACGTAATCATACTCATTTTTCTTTGAATATGCTTATTCTTTTACCTTTAATATACAAATAACCCATCCAGTTGTTTTTACATTGGTATATATTAAAACTTATTCATTTATACATTGGGGTCTAGATGCCATTAGTATTGAATTAATATAAAGGTTTAAATTGGCATTTCAACCACACTACTTCACAAGCAAGGATTCTTAGGGGCTGTTTGGGATGATCTAAATAAGTGCACTTTTTATCTTACAAATAACCCATCCAGTTGTTTTTACATTGATATTAAAACTTATTCATTTATACATTGGGGTCTAGATGCCATTAGTATTGAATTAATATAAAGGTTTAAATTGGCATTTCAACCACACTACTTCACAAGCAAGGATTCTTAGGGGCTGTTTGGGATGATCTAAATAAGTGCACTTTTTATCTTTTTATGAAAAGATGTGTAGAAAAGTAGAGAGGTGATGTGATGGAAAAAAGATAAAAAGATGGATTATTTGGGACTTCCCAAACTTGGCCTTAATAGCAACCAAAGAGATTTTTGTTTTTTTTTTTTTTTTTTTTGATTGTTCACCCAGAGGAGTTTAATAAAAAGACATTTTATAATTGAGTAATAATTGTACACCAAACTAAATCACAAAAAAAGTGTAAAAAATGCGCATGTAGCATGACTGGATCTACTAGAAGAATTATCATTCACTAGTCATTATTTTCATTAGAGATGAGCCCGTCATACTTGGATCAAATTATCGAAGTCTATAACTAACGAGTTTATTGGGCGCTAACACCATAGATTAGATTTAAAGTGAAACAAATTGTAGACTTTTGTAAACTAAAATAAATTTTTTTTAAATTAAAAACTAAATACTAAATATAAGGAATCGTATAATTTTCACATATTTTCCGAATTATATTAACAATTAAGATTCCGTTTATTTTGACATAAAATATTTTACATAACAAAATATTTTCTTTTAAATTGATTTTACACAAAAAAAAATATTGTTTTTATTTTTCGGCGTTTAGTTGACAGTTTAAACAAAAAATTTGAATTCAATAAAGTATTATTTATGATTTTTAAGTTAGTTAACATACTTATTTGAAAAAGAAATGAGTGAGAATTAATTTTATAAAAATTGATTTGTGAAATTTTTAAAAGTCATTTTCTGAAAAATAATGTAAAAATATTTTTTTAGTTTTTATTTAATTAAAAAATAAAAAATAAATGAAATATTTTACGTGGAAATAAATGAAGAGTAAATGAAAATGAAAATTTCCAACGGCGTGTGGAAACGGCAACATCATCCGAAAGCTACGTGGGCTGTCATTATAAATGAGAGCGCACAAGACGGGAAGACGGTAAACGCTATCAAGACCATTGGATTAGGATTCTCTCTCTCTCTCTCTCTCTCTTCCAACCCACCCATCTCCACTGAGGAAGGCTGCATTCTGCCCGATCTTACCCCCTTTAACAATCTCTCACTCATTACTCTTCTTTTCTTTCCCATATGCACCTACCTAAAAAGAGTAAACACCTCTCCTTTTTTCATTAGGATTTTTTTTTAAATTTTTTTAATAATCAAAAACTCATCCTACCTTTAGACTACTCACAAGAAAATAAACTCGGCCCGTTGAAGGTAGTGAACTGGGCAAATGGGAGAAAATTCAAGCTCTCATCGGTAACCGTTAAAAAAAAAAAAAAAAAAAAAAAAAAAAAAAAAAAAAAACATTCACCAATTTAAATATTTGAAATATATATATATATATATATAAACACATTTACAATTATATGTCAAAGTTATTTCAAAATTATATGAGTTTTATGATGGTAAGTATTTTGATTGAAGATTTTGTATAAAAATTATTTTTGTATATTATTTCATTATCTTTTTTTATTATTTATTATATCCCAAAATGAGAATCATATATAAATATATTTAAACTACACAAATTGACACCCATTATCACCACATACCTTCATTATTTTAAAGGGGAAGAAACAAAGTTAGCTCTCCCCCTGTTGTGTTGTTTTTTTTAATAGAAAATGATTAGTAGTAGGAGCTCTCAATCGTACCTAGCGTATATCATACTTCACACACCATTACCACCCGCTAACTCATCATCAATCTCAGCCAATTCATTTGACTAATAATTTCTTAAATATCAATCGACAAATATCAAAATTTTGAATTTTTTGTAATATATCAATTGATACCATGATTATATGATATCAAATCAATATATGACTATATTAACAACGTATTTAAAACCATGTTTTGAAAAGTGGAATTGTTGACATGAATTAAAGATTTGACACTAATCCTCGGCAATAATCAGCATACTTTGTCTTTTATAACTCACATATAAGCAATGCATTACAAGTTGTGATATTGTAGCAACAAAACCCACAAAAAAATATTTAAAAAAAAAAAAAAAAGAGTGGTGGAAGAGAGTTGATTATTGTGATATTTTCTTGGATCATCATCTTTCTGGGTCACCAACTGAGTTATCCAAGGGCATAACGGGGTGGTTGAGGCGCGAAACACCGGCTTCTTTAGGTTTACAGAGATCAGAAATGAAGGTGGAGAAGAAGACGATGACCGGTGTGATGAAAATAATGAGACCAACAGGGACCATCCAAAGCTGGGTATTTGAGTGATGATGCTTCACTACCCACCAAACCAAGATCAACCCTCCAACCATGCTTATCAAGAATGAAGCCAAGCAAGCTACGCATGCCTTCACTATCTTCCTAAATCTGTTGTAGCTAATCCCATCTCTGTTCTCTTCTTCCTTGTATGATCCCATCAAATAATTTAACAAAACCAATAAGATCAACCCCGATTTTATCCTAAAGATTGCAAAACCAACAACAGAAAAGATAGCATATCAGTATCAGCGATACAATCATATATTCAAAATTCTCATACATATCTAACATCTATGTATGGGCTTCATTGACAGGACACCAAGATTTTAAGACGACATACCTGAGTGATGATGTTGAAGTAGGATTGAATGGAGGAGATTTTGATGGGACTGCAATATATATGTACTGAGCAAGAATATCAGAGGTAGGATATAAACAGAGAAACTCTGATTCATGAGTCTGAGCATTTTATCCAAGTCGTTGTAAGTAAAAACTATGTGTTATATACATAAAGAAGGTAAAAGTAGTACGTCTCCGTTGCAAACATTACTCATTGACGCAGCCATCTGGGGTAGATTCGATTTGTGTGTATATTATATATATATATATATATATATATATGTGTGTGTGGCGTCTATTGCCTTTATTTGACCAGTGGCTTGCTTTTGTTATGTAAAATATTATTTTTGTACTGTTTGGATGGGAGGGAGAAAAATATATAGGAAAAGAAAATGTGATTAATTTGCATTTGATAAAATAGTAGTTTGGTTCTCTAATTTTCATTTGAATTTCTCTTTCACACTCATTTTCTAATTGTGGCAATTCAAAGTGTGAGCACTCTCTCCATTTTTCTAACAATAACTTCTTTTTTTTTTTTTAATGATCGGATGTCGAAGTCAGTCTATACATACTTTGATTAATCTTGAGACCTTGGTAAAGTATTCTCTCCACATGGATCGAACACATCTCGAGCAGAGTCTGTGGACATGGCTCCAAAAAAATAATAATACTTAATGAGAGTTAAACTTGAAACTTAAAAGGAGCCAAATAAATATGTTCTAAAAGCTTTAAAAAAAAAAAAAAAAAAAAAAAAAATTAGGCTTTTCAGGAGAGCCTCTAAATGCATCTTAAAAATATTATTGGACATTCCATTTCTTTTAGCACCCCATTCTTGGACATTCCATTTATGTTCTAAAAGCTTTAAAAGAAAAAAAAAATTATGAAAAAATTAGGCTTTTCAGGAGAGCCTCTAAATGCATCTTAAAAATATTAGGCTTTTCAGGAGAGCCTCTAAATGCATCTTAAAAATATTATTGTTAACAAGAAAAAAAAATATTATGTTCTAAAAGCTTTAAAAGAAAAAAAAAATTATGAAAAAATTAGGCTTTTCAGGAGAGCCTCTAAATGCATCTTAAAAATATTATTGGACATTCCATTTCTTTTAGCACCCCATTCCTAAATTTAAATTTTGTTATTTTTCTTCGAATACTCCAATTAATCTCAACTTTACTCATACCCACTCCAGCGTAGTGTTACTGCTACCGTTGCCCCACCATCTTTGACACGACCCAGCCCCTTCTCTTTTTCCGTCCGTTGTCCCCACTCCTTTTCATTCTTTCGCCGCCATCAATTGTGCTCTCATCTTCCCTCCCTAACATTCCTTACCCCACAATTTTCCAGCCCTTCCCACCCTCTCAAATCTTAACCTTAACGTCACCACCTACCATCGCTAACAAAGAAATAGAGCTACGATAGCGGCAAACGAGAGAATAATTCTTGAACTCTAACCCTAACCCCATGATCCACCACCGCCAATAGAGTGAGAGATTCGCGCACGCACACATAGATCACAAGCAAAAGAGTTGGGCAACTGTAGCGAGAGAGCTAAAAGAGTCCCTTGTGAATGATGGCTGCTAGATGTGGAGAGGAGCTAGGGGTTGCTACGAAAGAGAGGTGTGGTGGTGACTACTGAAAAAGGAGAAGATGGAATCAGCAATGATAAACTCTAATTTTGAAATTCTAATTGGGGTTTAATGATGTAAAAATTTAAAAAAAAAAAAATTTAAGGTTAATACATCACATCAATGGGTGGGGTCATATCTTAGAGCTCTTTTAAAGCATCTATAGTAGAATGACTAAAAAAATGTGTTAAAATGTGTGTTATATGACAAAAAGTGATAAAAGTAGGGTCCAAAATGTGTGTTAAGATGTGTTAGTTTGTTAATTTTAGAGAGTAAGTGGTGGTACAATGGATGTGTTAAGAATATATATATATATATATATAATAAATAAAATAAATCAAAAATTTCAAGCCCAAAAAAAAAAACCTTAACAAGTATAAAAAAAAAAAAATTCCAAAACCAAAACCAAAACAAAAAAAATCAATTGACCAGCTTGCATCCGGTCGGTCAACCGTCACACCAATTTTTATTTATTTATTTATTTTCTTTTCTTGAAGGGTCCGGACGTCCAGAGTGACTTTTGGGGACTTCGGCCGAACTCTGGGAGACTTCCCCAGCACACACATCTCTCTCCCTTCGCTAACTAAAACGCTGGTCATAGTTAACACACAATTAACACAGCTAACACTAATTACAACACTAATACAATTACTAACCACCCATTACAACACCTACCAAGTGTCTTTGTTGGCAAAAACTAACACTTGACATTTTTCTGGCCAGAAGTCCCCCCGAACGTCCGACCCTTTAAAAAAAAAAATAGGTCTGACTAGTTGACCGGCCGGATCCAGAAAGGTGGTACACTGAATTTTTTTTTTTTTTCCTTGTTGGGAATTTTTTTTGGCTTGAAATTTTTGATTAAATTAAATTATTTATTTATTTTATTTATTAATATATATATATATATATATTCTTAACACATTCCCTTAACACATCTATTATACCACCATTCATCTTTAAAATAAACAACTTTTAACACATCTTAACACATATTTTTAAGCCACTTTTATCACTTTTTGTAACACACAATTTAACATTTTTTTTTAACTATCCTACTGTAGATGCTCTTATACTCATATTTTAAAGCTTCAAACATTTTTAAGATGGAATTAGGATTTTATCTTTTTTGATAATTTGATTTATGGTTGAGATGTGGATAATAGAGCTCTAGGTGTAAGAGCTCAACACAGCTAGCAAGGGTAAAAAAATAAATAAAACAAACTAAAATAAAATAGTTTCAGAAAAAGACAAATCAGAATAGGAAAAAAGGCAAATTAGAGCTCTTTTAAATCTCTTATTTTAGGGGTCTAAAACATTTTTGTTCACGATTATAATGACATTTAAAAAAATAAAATAAATTAAAAAATCGAATGTGGGGTGTCCAACAACATTTTGGAGGTGCATTTAGTGGCTTCCGTTTTTTAGCCTTCAATTTATGCTCAAATTTCATTTAAAGCCTTTATGATTTAACTTTTACTCAAGTTTGAAAGGACAAATTATGACAGTAGTCACTATATTTTACTTTTTGTATCATTTTAGTCCATATATTTTTAATTGATTCAATTTTGATATTAAATTTATGATTTTGTCTCAATTTGATCCAATTGTTTATAACTCTTACATTTTTATTTTATTTTTTATGAAAAACATGTACATAAATGTCACGTGTCATATTATTATAAGGACAAAATTATAAATTTACTCAATTCGGTCAGTTAACAGCAACCAATTTAGTGATAATTTTTCTTAAAAAACACTAAATATATTATTAATTAGACCAAATTTAAACAAAATTTAAAATTAAAAATCAAAATTGAGCCAATGAAAGTGTACAGGCCAAAATGACACAAGAGATAAAATATAGAAATGACCGGTGTAATTGTCTAATTTTAAATTGTGAGGTGGCAAGGGAGTTACATTGAAACTTGGGTTCAAATCTACAAACTTAATTAAAGTGGCAAGGGAGTTACATTGAAACTTGGGTTCAAATCTACAAACTTAATTAAAACCAAAATAAAATTTTAAGTGAAAGTTGAAAGGTAATTTATTCGCAAGAAGGAAACACTGGACCATTTAAATATCATGCTACATGAGAAGGAAAATTATAAAGAAAAAGTTATTCCTCACTAATTTTTCATTCTGATCCATGTCAATTTTAATGTAAATCAAATGCTCAACATTTCGAGAAACCTACCCACCCAAAAACATTTCCAGAAACCATTTTTAGTTAAAAAACATTAAATATTTGAGGAAATACTTATCCTATTAAACATATATTGTAGATGGGTGTACAAAATTAGAGCAATATTGGAGCAATATTCAAGCTGCTTGTGTAAAGCTTTTATTAAAGATAGGTGTACAAAATCAAATGCTTAAAATATACTTTAAAAAAATAACGTTAACTTTTCATATGGTAGAATTCATATCTTAGATGAATCTGAATTATTAAATATTTGGATAAATTACAAAAATATTCTTAAAATTTACTTAAATTATAAATTACTCTCTGTAATTTTAGAAATTATATTATGCCTCCTAAGATTTCTAATTTCATAATAAATAAATCTTTTTATTAATAAATCATCAAGTTAATTAACAGGTTTTAATAATGCTAAAATTTTATTTCAATTAATAATTCAAATAATTTTCTTATTGTATAGGTGAATAATTAGAAATTTTACTTTTTCAATTAATTCTGTTAAATAAAAAATTTTGACAATGACATATTTGTAATTTTTCAAACCACAAAAGATAATTCATATTTTAAACAAACTTTAAGGGGTGTATTTATAATTTATCCTAAATAATTTACATATTTTTTTGTGTATAAATTCTTTATTCATAGTGTTGCTCAATAAATTAAAGCGAATGGAATTTCTTTAAGTTAAAGCGAATAGTTCCTCTTCCACAGTTCGTTGGACAAGTTTTATTATATATATTTGTGAGTTATATTATATGCCAATATTAGAGGCTGTAATTAAAATCGAAATAATGAGAAAAAAAATTCAAATGTATTTTTTTAATATATGTCTAAACACTTTTTTACTCATTTGTGTACATTTTTATACTATTTTTACACAAATCGATACTAAGAGCAATTTTCCATGCTTATAGCCTAGGACAGTTAGAAAAAGAGTCCAGCTTGTCTCAAGTTGAAATCGAAACTAGACCTATCTAGTTTGATTTATGGGGTCCATTTTTTGAGCCCATATTGATAATCTGAACCGTTCAATGTGTAAAACTCGTTGAGTACTATATGCTTGTAAAAAATCACGTTGATCGGATATCAATAGCTATGTGATCAAATCAGTTTTGTAAAAAAAAAAAATTGATGGTGAAAAAATTAACAATTGATAAAAAAACTGTTTTGTTTACATAGCTATCGATATCTGATCAATGTGATTTTTTACAGGCATATAGTACTCGACGAGTTCTACACATTGAACGGTTCGGATTATCAAAACGAGACCCGTAGTGGGCCATCACGGGCCCAACAGCATGGTCCAGTCCGATCTTAGACTGGACCAAAGCGACTGCCTTAGAAAAAAGCAAATTGGAACTCGATATTAAGCAGTCATGTTTATGGGTAGTAAACATCATCAGGTTTTGAATTTTTTTTTATTACTATTTTTTTTTCTAGGAAAAAATCAGTTTCATTGAATGAATATATACAAGTCAAAGATCTTAAAACCATATATATGTATATACATATATTTAAAAAGTGGAACTTCTCCAGCAACTGCAAAATCAAATTGATGATACAGCGAGTTTCCGGCGGAACGGGTCTGTTTGATTCGCGCTTTCTAAACTGGTGCCCGAGACGCCAAGCCCATAGGGAGACATGCACAAGAGTTCGATGGGGAACGGGGAGTCCCCCCCACGAACCCTCCGACGAGCAAGTTAGAAAGAGAAAAATGGAATGTAGGGATAGATCGGTGATAGAGAAGCTTAACCTTTGCCTTGTCTTCGAAACCTACTTATATCCTCTACTAATCATTTCCTTGTCCCTTCCGACTTGTCACGTTGACCGAAAGTCT